TGACACAGCTCAGAGTGCTCTGAATATGAAAAGTGAAAAGAAAAAGTGGAATGGGTTGACCAAACTACACCACACAGTTACAGTCAGAACTAGGAATATGACTTCAGATTATGTGTGTCCCTCTGCTTCTTTCCTGGGCTTGGCAGAGACTCAAGGGAGATTGAGTCTCATTCAAAGAGCACAAAATTAATAGGGCTGCACAGAGATGAGAGGACAAAAGAGAAAAAAAATCCATAATCTGTTACATTTTTTATAAATCCATGGTTTGCTTACACCTCCAGTTATGTGTGCAGTCCTCTTTTCCCAGACTAGAAAAAAGTAAGTAGAACTTGAAACCAAGTTCAGAGACAGGCAGCAGATCAAGGCAGCGGATTTTGCCCCTCTGCTCCACTCTGCTGAGACCCACCTGGAGCACTGCATCCAGCCCTGGGCTCCCAACTCAGGAATGACATGAACCTGCTAGAGTGAGCCCAGAGAAGGCCATGAATATAATCTGGGGCTGGAGCCTCTCTCCTATGGAGATGGGCTGAGAGAATTGGGGTTGTTCAGCCTGAAGAAGAGAAGACCCTGGGGGGACCTTAAAGTGCCTTCCAGTCCCTAAAGGGAACCTACAGAAAATACAGGGAGGGACTGTTTATCAAGAAGTATAGTGACAAGGTGAGGAATACCTGTTTTAAAATTATTTGGATCAAATATTATGACAAAATTCTTTACTGTGAGTGTGTTGAGGCACTGCACAGGTTGTCCAGAGAAGCTGTTGACACCCCATCCCTGGAAGTGTTCAAGGCCAGACTGGACAGGGCTTTACACAACCTAGTCTAGAGGAAGGTGTCCCTGCCAATGGTATGGTGGTCAGAATGAGATGATATTTAACCCAAAACCAACCCAAACCATTCTATTAATTTATGATACTATGATTCCACAGATTTTATTTTTGGGGAGTGTCAGTGGAAAGCAGGCTAAAACTTAAAAAGAAATAAAACAAATACCAAAACAACATTGTAAATGCAGAAACAATACAGTATTCACCTAATTTTTTGCTGCAAAGCACGAAACTCTCCTGATGAATCACAAGAGTTTTAAGTCAGCTTTTCTGTCAGGTAGCTATGCTGTTAACAACAACACATCCATGACTACATTTTTGAATCACAAGAGTTTTAAGTCAGCTTTTCTGTGAGGTAGCTATGCTGTTAACAACAACACATCCATGACTACATTTTTGACATTATAAGTGGATGAGAGTAAGCTATTTTCTCTTTGTATCCTGTCCTGTTTCAAATTTTATTTATTCTGTATGCTGAAGAAATAAATCTTTATAGGAAGTACTAGGCCTAATTTCTCTTTTTAAAAAAAACCAATTTTTTTTAAACACCCTTTTCCAACTTAGGCTAATTCTGAGCTAGCTAGCCAAATGCAAGGAGAGCTCATAGGATAACACGTTTGCTTTATTTCTATGCATAGGTTATTTTTAGAACAGCAATAATGTTAATTGAATCGTATGTATAATGGATAATGGGCTAACACTTTGGAAAAAAATGTCTTGGTAATGCTCTGTAATGCCTTATCACTAACTGCCTTATACTTGCCTCTCAGCAGCTGGCTAGTTGCAATGTCCCATAAGCATGAAAAAAAGCTTCTTCTGATACTTCATGCATACAACATGTCCTTGTTATGGTCCAATCACATTGCTCCACCCTCTTTTGCATAGATTCATTCAAAATCCTTAATGTAAGACTTTTGGTTTCATGCCTTGCCATCTAAGGGTAAGGCAAGCAAGCCTGCATCAATTGCATTAAGCTCTTTGCATTTTGCTTCTGCCACAAATAATGTCATTTCTTACTTCATTCAAGAATATAGGGAGGGCTATGGATCAGACCAAGATCTCTGGGTCAGGACTGTGGAGTCACAGAAACATTTGGGTTGAAAAACACCTTAATATCATTGAGTATCTTCCTTGTAATAAGAGCCATAAACAGACGGTACAGGAACAGGAAGGACAGTTATCTCTGCTTCCAGATATTTTCAGCTCAGAAAATTTCATATCATTCCACTTTGGTATTCTGTGTTATCCATTGTCTGTGTATTGCCTTGACTAAATACTGAGGAAAAGTTCCAGAAGTTTTATCAGTGCTATTAGATATAGCACACTCTTTCCCCTTTGGTTCCATTTGAGTGAGAGACACATGGAGAGATTTATAGGAGTTCCTCATTACAGTTTCCAGTCAAATACTTTCTATTATTCCAACTTCTATTCCCTCATACACCTTCTTTATAAAATTCTCACCCTTTCTTCTTTTGAAATCCTTGGTTATCTCTCTTCCTTTCCTGTTGACTGACTCTATTGTCTGTTTTGCTAAACCACGTTTTTCTTACTTTTCGTAGCAAGAAAGCTGCAATGCACAGCTTCATTTTACTTCTCTTCCCCTAGCAAGAAGCTTCTGTCAGGGCCTGTCAAGGTTCCCCTCCCCTCCCTTCCCTTCCCCTCCCCTACCCTCTCCCCCTCTTTTTTCTTCTCTGCGTTTCTCTTCCAGTCATGCATTCCTTTGACCTCTTATTCAGTACCAGTACTGTTTTCTGTCCCTTTTCATTTACTACATTTTTAAATCCTCATCAAACTACTACCATCATTTCCAGCTGTGGCTATAGTTCTTGGATCTTCCCTTTCATGGCTTCCTACTACAGCAACAGCTTCCATGAGAGACCCACCTGTGGTAACAGCCACTCATTTTATCTTCTTTCCCTTGGGTTAAATCTGGTGCTATCTCAGTAGCTATCATAGTTTTTCTTGCTAAGTCCTAGCCTGACCAAAACAATGGTGGAAATTAATTGTGGCTTGTAACATATGTAATGTGTGTGTTACAGCTCCTACTGTAATGCATGAGTTACAGAACCTATTCTCCATTTGCTGACTTGAGGCCAGAAATACAGATTCTGATGCCATCAACCTTTAATTTCCACATATCTACATCTGAACGGACATAATGACTGTTGTAAGTCTGATTTGAGCCTTGGAGTATTCAGGCTGCATTTTTTCCAGTTAATGAGTGAAGAATTCATCATGTTTTTCATACACTTCAGGTTACTTGATCAGCCTCACAGAGGACCTCAGTTTGGGACAATGGCTCTGCTTCTCCTTTCACTTATTCATTCAGTGCATCAACTATTTGGCTTCCCTTCAAGTGCCCTGAAAAGTATTATGTGTGAGAAGCAAAACACCAAAGGGACATATAGCATGAGTGACTGGATTTCAATTTTCCACTGTTGTCAGTGGAGTGAGCAGCAGGTGTTTTACAATATGGTTTCACTTTATTTTCATTTAGCTTTTAGCAGTCCACCCTTTGAGCCTGTAACTGCAATGTTGACTTGAGGCCTAACTCTCAGAAACATACTGAGGTGAAAGATTTAATGGTTTTCAAAAGGACTGTGAATTTCCATGGCACAATTCACAGGAAGAAGCCTATCAGAACATGTTCCTGGTCTGTTTATACTTTAAGGTTTATGCTGGCACAGTGCTGCCTCGTGGCTAAACCAGCCAAATTCTCTGCAGTTGCATCAACCATATGGTAGGAAAGAGCTAAAGCCAGTTTCAGAAGTCCGCTCTTGTTACACACACATCTATCTATCTATCTATCTATCTATCTATCTATCTATCTATCTATCTATCTATCTATCTATCTACCTACCTCTATACCCATATCCATATCTCTATCTATCTCTATCTCTATCTCTATCTCTATCTCTATCTCTATCTCTATCTCTATCTATCTCTATCTCTATCTCTATCTCTATCTATCTCTATCTCTATCTATCTCTATCTCTATCTCTATCTATATCTATATCTATATCTATATCTATATCTATATCTATATCTATATCTATATCTATATCTATATCTATATCTATATCTATATCTATATCTNTCTATATCTATATCTATATCTATATCTATATCTATATATCTTATGTTGGTATGTCAATACCTATTCTAGGAGCAAGTTATTAACTGATTTCCATGATTCTATATTATAATTCTCAGGGTATCTTGCTCCAGTCATTATAGAAATTATTTCAGTTTGCCTTCTAAATTGCTTACCTTAGGCTGGGGAAGAAAGAACCAGCAAGTTAAACCGTAATAGAAACTTTCTGAAACCCCTGAAAACATTTTGAAGAAAATCTTTCAGAATATTGTCTTCTATATCGTACACTCAGTGTTTGAAGTGGGATAAGATTTTTAAGATGGGAATACTGTCACTTTGATAGAAAGAACCATGTAATTCCCACAAGGCACTCATAGGCTACTCCTGATTGTGGATTAGGAGTCAATATCACCCTCACAGCAAGCTCACAACATCAGCTCAGGGCATGGCAAGTGTTAGGACACCTGATATTCTGAGAAGCATGCTACTTAGGTGTCTATAATTAGCAAATGTATAAGTTGTAATTATATAATGTCATTAAAAATTAAAACTAAAAAATTTTGAGAAGTGTTTTACTACAGTGCTGTATTTTGAAATCATTCTAAATTTCAATGCCTTTCAGATTGAAACATTGTATGTAAAAACATCATCACTTAAATTCTTTGAAAAATCACAGGGTGTTTCTACCTATTTAGTTCTTTTATCTCTCACATAATAGTCAAAAATGTGAAACATACACAGTGCACAAAAAACTCACTTGGAAATCAGGTTTGAAAATAGGACTGCACAAAATCAAAATCCTGTTTTATAAAACACAACAGAAATCCTGGTTTGGAAATTCAATTTCTAGCAAAAACTAACTTTTGCATTTCCTAAAGCTGTTATTTGCCTAGTACAACAACAAGCCACACTGCCAGAACGATTTGTTTTCCCCTGACTTGCTCTACAGATGCACCCCACCAGCACTTTGAACAACCTTCTTCCCCACATTATGAAACATACCGGTAACTCCACATATGACAACCTTCTTCCAGTTTTATTATCGTCTTTCTTTGCTGCCGCAGGTTTTGCTTTTTCTTTCTCTTTTGCCTTTTCCATTCTCTCAAGTTCCTCCATATACACATCATAGATAAACCACTGAGAGACAGACAGAGGCAGGATTTATTAGGACCTGACCATTTTCCTGAGAACAGCCAACTACACCATCACAAAAAATATGATAGTCATCACAACAGTACCACTGCTGCTGGAATTAGCTGAACTGTCTTCTTACATAAAAAGTGAAGAGTTGAGGTCAGGATTTTTCAAGAATGATGGAGCATGTCTTATTTTAAGAATCCATTACAGCATTCTTAACAATTTCTTTCCTCCAACACTCTTGCTTCTTTGACTCTGTCCGTATCTTTATTTTTGCAGGACTCTGTATTTGGCTAATTTACCAGTGTTTAACGTGAAACATGCATTAAACATTTCTTTTATGACATTTTTCCTGTGGTGTTGGAAAATTAAATTGTAGTTGCTTAACACAATTTAAATTTGGACTCCAACTCTGCAGCATATGATCAAATGGAAACTGCGAGCAGTGTTACATGTTCTGCTATGCCACATGCCACACATGTCTTACTTGAGTAGATCCAAAAGTAACTTCTCCTAAGAATTATTCATTAGTATTGAAATCCTAGTATTGTATCTGAAGCAGGTATATTTCTTTCAGGACAAAACAAAAGACACATTAGCTTAGGATAGGGAGTATGATTCAAATATAGAATATAGACTAGAACATTGAAATAAAGGTAGCAGAACTCTTAAAAAAAAAAAAAAAACAACTGTATTGCATTCTAAATTTGCAGAAATGAGATGGAAAGATGTTCCAAACATCAGGGAAAGAACAAAGAAGATGAGATAAGTATGAGAAGGTGTAAAACAGAAAAGTTTGGAATAGGAAACTGTGAGCATAACAAAGAACATAAAGGAAAAAAAGACCTGCGGAGAAAAAAGAGTTTATTTAAAATCACTATTTTAGACCCTCTGAAAATTTCAACAATATAAAAAGAAATTAAAGGAAAAACTTTCCTCTTAGCTTTCAAATATTTAATGCAAAATCTTAGGGGTTAATTATCTTAAAGACCTCTGTTCTAAATCTCAGGACATCTCACTGATGTCAGGAAAAAAAATGGAAGAAAACTCCAGCTGGAGGGAAGGAAGACCTCAGGCCAATTACTCTATTGTCCTAGGGTGACATTATGGTGTTTGTATCTCCAATCATGTGTTCTGTGTATGTTTGATATTATGTTCTGTGCTTTCAGAACTGACTCTGAAAGCGAAGGTTTGTTTTGCCTTGTTATCAGCCGGTTCACCTTCGCCCGTGGTCTGCTGTCTAGAAGAGGCTAGTGCTGGCTTGGCTTGCTTGCTTTGCTTGCTGGCTTTTGCTTGCTTGCTTTGCTTGCTTCTGTTTTTGCTTTTGCTTCCTAGTTAGTTTAGCTAAGCAGTCCAATTCTTTCCCTGGACTGTTTCCTTTCCTTTTCCTGAATACCATCCAACCTGCCCCAGACTGGGACCTGGAAACACCAAGGAACACCAAGAGCCTGTGTTTTGTGATCTGCAGCAGCCATTCCCAGTGCCCAGAGCAATCCCCAGCGTCCAGACCCGGGCGACCACTCCCAGGAAAGGCTTTCTGGATTTGTTCATCTCTTCAGAGTGGTGAAAGAGTTTTGTTGTCATCTGGTGTTGTTATTTTCTTTGGTGATGGGGAGTGCTTTGTTTGTTAAATAAACAGGTTCTTTTCCACTTCTCTCAGAGAAAATTTTTTCCTGAACCAGGTGGGTGGGGAGGGGCCATGGGGGTTTGTTTTCTGGGGGCTCCTTCCAGAGGGTTTTCCCCAAATTTGCCCTAAACTAGGACATCTATAATTTCAGGTTCAAGAATAGAATAGATTACAGTTTTTAACCTGAAGAGATACCTCCACTCTCCTGCTATAATTTTCTTCATACCAGCATTTTTTAAGTTGCTGCCATTGCATTACAGTGTCTTCTACTGTTCCTCTACTCACTGGTAACAAAATAGTGCTTTCAATACCAGTTTGATACACTAGTTTGAAACAATGTTTATATCTGTGACAAACACAATTCCATTTTACAAATACCTGAGAATTAATGAGCAGAATTGGCTTTCCATTGAAAGCTGTAACATTATCTTTTGTGTGAAATTTCATCCAAAATATTTTATTTTACATTTTTAAGGGATGCAGAAAATGTTACAGAGCCTTTCATCATTAATTGATAGGTACTTTTCTGCTACATAAAGCAGAGTTAAGTCTCTTGCAACAGGTCTTCCACATTCCTTATTCTGTAGTTCACATTTTGTTCAGCTTCAGGCTTTAGAAATCTGCTCTTACATACTGCTAAACTTAGAGTAAAAACCCAAGTGCTGCATATGCCAAAGTCCTAACAATACTCGAAGAGAGAGCTATGTTCCTAGAGGAGGCAGTATTCTGCAGGCTGCAGCCCACCTCTTGCTGAACCCAAAACTATTCTCACTCTGTGGTTTTCCCATTCCCCCTCACTTACAACACTCTAAAGCAGACAGGTCAGGCTGACTGGCAAAAAATAAACCAGTGAAAAGCATCTAAACTGAGACACTTAACCTAAGAAATATAAACCATGATCAAGTTCACCCATTAAAGCAGAAGAGAGGGTCATACTAGTTTGCTGTCAGAGTCAAATGGGAGACCAAAGCCACTGCAAAGAATGAAAACACAATAATTCAGTTTTAACTTTCTTACACCTCAATTTCCAAAATATATTCTAAAACAAATTTTAAGATAAAAAGGAGATAGATATAGGTATAGATTTACCTGGTTAACATTTTCTGAGAAAGTTTCAAAAGGTGCAGGGTCAGTTTGCAATCCTCTTTCCTGAAAAAAGAAAAAGCTTGAATAATCTCAGCACTGAAGCCCTCTGCTGTGCCATAATCTAGTTGTGGAAACAGTCTGCATGAATAACTTGATATCCAAAGGACTCCTAGGGCACTGTACAACACTGTTGGTGATTGTGAAACTACAAAAAGATTTTGTTGTGGACCAAAAGAATGTTCACAAGACCTTCTGTTTTTTTTCCCCTCAGGAAAAATGGGAGAAATTGCAGGAAAATAGTGGTAAAACAGCAAGAAAAGTGGGAAAAATGAAAAAAAAAAACGGGGAAAATGAGAAAAACAACCGGAAAAGAGTGGGAAAATGGGAAAAACAGTGGGAAAATGGTGGGAAAAAGGGGGGAAATGGGACAAATGAGAAAAACAGCGGAAAAAGTGGGAAAAATGAGAGAAATTATGGACAAACAGTGGCAAAACAATGGGGAAAATGGGAAAAATTAGAAAAACAGCAGAAAATAGTGGGAAAAGTGGGAAAAATGGCAGGGAAAATACTTCAAATATTTCAGCAGTTAATTCTGAAGGAGTTCAAATGGTTTTTTTTCACCTCTACCATTTGAAATGTCCTAGTACCTATTCTGGTATAAATTATGACATCCTACCAAATTTGAAAAGTTTGTCCTACATATTAAAAAGCCAATTGGATGCAACAGTCAGAACAAAAGAATTTAACAGAGTGAAACTTATAAACAATTCATCTGATGCTACTGAAATAATATTTTTACCATCCTTAGATCAACATTCTGAAATAATATATTTCTGTGAAACATTTCCTTAAAAAAACAGCTTCTTCTTTCAAAAAACTGTTGTGTCTGGAAAATTTTAAGAAACTGCCTGTAGCATTTCACTGACCTTTGAAATGAAGACATCTCAGGGGTGGAAACTGCACATCCAGTACAGCACATAGCAGTACCATGCAGCTATTTAAAATCTATATTCTCCTTTCAAAGACAGAATCATACAGACACACACAAGCTTCTCCCAGTAAAATCACTGTGAAGAAGAGAATATGCAAATCTGGGAACAAAGAAATAAGAAATTCCATGGCTTCCACTGGGATTTTTGAAAGATGCAGAATCTTAGCTCAAGCTTCATAGCAAGCACCCCACTGCTGGACAAATGCTCCTGAGACCTTCTGTTTCCAGCAGCACAGTAACTCATATATCTCTGAGTATGTAAAGACATCTCATCCTAGGTGTAATGGATATAAGACAATGGACAGGCTCTTTGGGGAAATATACACTCCAGCTGTAGCAAGGAAAACAAAAGAATTTTCTCTCTGAAACTCATATATATACCTGGTGTAGGAAACTCCTTCTTGAACACTCTGTCAGGAGCCAACATCACCAGGATTGCTCAGTCAGAAGGCCCCATGAAAATATGCTCACAAGGAATGGCTGTAGGTTCAGCAAAAAGCTTAGGGAAGGAATGTAAGGGCTTGGGTCTGTACTTATTGGAAAGTGCATGCGGAGTGGGAGGGAGATGTACCATGTTCAAGAAGTACAGATTTGTCACACTTACATGTTTGTTACTCTAGTACCCATGCTTAATACATGCCCAAACATATTTGTCCTTTTAATATATGGACACTTATATCTCTGCTCCATTAATAAGAACTGAAGTACGAGACCATAGAAGTACACAGTGACAAACAGAAATTGCTTTTCCACATTCCAAGTACTCAGCTGCTACCCTAACATTGCTCCATACTTTTTCAGATGAGAAAATAGGCATAAAAAATATATCCAAGTAGAGGCTTAAGGATTCACAGTAGCATCAAAACTTTTTGTAGGCTGTCCAAGAGTTCATGAGGCAAGAAATCTTCTGTCACCGTTGTCATTACACCAAATGTTTTACAATAGTACAACCACTATAACTTTTTTCCTAATAGTGTCAAAAGATCACAGGATATGACAAACACAGGTGATCTACATGCACTCTCAAAGGAAAGATCCTCCAAGTCACTGAAGGAAACAGCAACATACCCGCATAGGATTGTGGTATGTAGTTGAACCTCTCTCAATGAAGTTGAACTGGTTTGCAAGCTTCCTTTCTGGCGCTTTTGGGGGAGGAGGCTCTTCAGCCTCTGCTACCTCAGCTGCTTCAGCTTCTTGTTCTCCCTCTCCTTCTCCTCCTCCCTCTTTCTCTCCTGCAGCCTGCAAGAAAATACAGCAGTGATTTCACCCTGAGAGAATCAGTTGTCTCTTTCCTTCTTCTCAGATTGCTGATTTCTGCTGCCTAGTGAAGGAGACTATAACTGAAGATTCAATGTTTAATATGCAAATTAGGAGACTTCCAGAACTCAGATCAGTGAGATTCTGAAATTACATTTGAATAGGAATATATACATTCAGGAACTCAAATTACTTTAAAACCTGACATAAGAGAGATACCTGACATGCAAGAGATAATATAGCACAGTTGGCTTTGGTAAAATGCACTCAGGAGCTACAAGATTTTGTTAGAGTCCCATTACCCTTTATTTTCATTTCCTTGCTAGACAACAAGTTTCACCTGAAACTTTGACATTGTGGGTTCTGACACTGTGTGGACAAGAACAAACATTCACAGGCTACTGCTTTCTTATCAGCCTTTAAATCAAGCCAGTACTTCTTTCATTCAGTTATGCCTGCTGCTTTCACCCCTCCAGACTTTTGTTTTTCACTAATGGACATACTGTCCAGGAAGATCCTAGATCCAGGAGATTATACTTTATTTTTATATAATATCTAGATAAAGACAGGTCTGATATGATCCCCCTATTCACCTTCTACATTTGAAAAATGGCAGTAGGACCACAGCTGCCCAGGAGAACCTGCAGGTTCTCACCTACAGTACTGAAATCTCAGACATAAGATAATCAATTACAGAAGCAAACCCATTTTATAGTAATGGAATTTAAAAGCTAATACTCAAAATAAAATGGAGAGTTCTTAGGTGTTTTAGAGAATTACCTCAGCTTCTTCTGTGGGTTCTTCATCTTTAGTCTCTGCCTCTTCAGTTGCCTCAGCAGAAGCCTCCACAGGAGCCTTTTCCTCCTCAACAGGAGTTTCCTCTGATGACAGAAAGGATACATGAATGAGCCCAGAATAAGAGGACATCTTATCCAATATTCTACAGATCCTATGTCTTCTGGAGCATTGATATATGTGTATGTATCCTTTCCTAATGCTATATCATTAGACAACACAGTAACAAATCCCCACTTTGAAGAACAATTGTTTGCTCAAAGCTATAAAAGGTCACAAGGGTATTTCTAGAATTCATCTAGAAATGTAGATACAGTACTTCTCGATGAACTGAAATAAAAAATAAATATTTTGACTCAGAGCAAACTTCTGTAACCCATTTCTGATCTGAGTAACTCTGTTTCTGGGAATCCCTTCAGCTCCAGACCTTTCTATGATCCGGAATTGTCTACAGTTATGTACAACTACTAAGAATGTCTTCAAGGAACACAGAAGTTATAACATGATTGTTCTTATTTATATGGACAAAAATACTAGTCTTGTTTGACAATGATGGATGTCTACATTCCAAACAAGGCCTTGACTGTGTAACCATGCTAGCATAGAGCCACTTGAAACTAATTGGTCTGGAATCTACGAAAAGCAGTGCCAAAAATCCATTATTTCATGGCTTTGAAGATCCCATTAAGCACTTTGCCTTACTTCAAATCATCATACTAAGTTTGTTAAGTGTAAAATAAAGCAGTCAATAACCCTCAGAAGCCCCAAGCAAGAACTGTTCTCAGGAGTTTATCCAGTGTTATCATTGTGCCTGGCAGTTACCGCCTTGACAGAACATTCATTGTGATAGAAATTCTCCTTTCATAAACAGCAGAAATACAATAAAATCAGAAGCCAGTACATCCTTCCCTGCTGAAAATTCAGACCTAGAACTCTTTATTAACAACAGAGCTTACAGTCTCTGGTTAATGTATCTTTTTGTCCGAACACTTAAGAGTGTTGATAGTTGCTCAGATAAAAGGTCCAAGTAGTTCAGGGTTTTGTATCTCACATTGTCTGAAAGTAGACGTCTTGATAAGAATTGGTCACGCATGTGTTAGTTTCCTGAACAATCACCCAGATTCCAAACATTTCTGCTTTAATACTTTAAATCATGTCTGCAACTTTCAAAATAGGCTAGGTAGTTTAGACATGTATGTCCAACTTAGGATAGTGAAAGACATTTAAAAGACACTCAATAACTGAAAATTTTAGTGTTAGCATTCAAATTACTCAAAAACATACAATATTTTCTAGACTGCAGCAAACATCTGGCTAATTATTTGTCTAATTTTGATTGCCAACAAGCATGCAAGTCAAAGTAAGAGCTGTTTAATTCTATGGTAGTGCAGCAGGATCATTCCATCATGTTCAGAAAGAGGAACCAGTGCCTATCTGAAAATTATTGTGATATCAGACAATAAAGCTACCTGTTTCAGTGCTTGATCTGATACTCTGGCGTCTGCCTTCATCTGAGTCTTTGTGTATCAAATATCCTTTCAAAGTGAAGTGAATGGCTGTTTGATCCATATTGTCCACTAGCTTGTATGCTCGTTCCTACAAAAGTAAAACCCAAAAACATCATAGAATCACAGAACCATAGAATCCTGGAATGGTCTAGGCTGGACAGGATCTTAAAGAACATCTTGTTGCAACCTCACTGCCATGGGCAGGGACAGCTTCCCCTACTCCAGGTTGTTTAAAGCCTCATTCAACTCAGCTTTGAACACTCCCAGGGTTACAGAATTCGTAATTCTTTTGAGCAACCTGTTCCACTGCCTTCACAGTGAAGAACAGCTTAATCTGTATAATTTAGTTTTGAGCTGCATCTAAAAGCAATCAGAAGCCACTAAAGAACACAGATGCTTCAATAGTTTGCTTACTTTGATTTGCTTACTATGTCAATCATAGCGTAGCACTGAGCTTACTTCTGTTATTGTGGAGAATTTGAAGATATGGATTACTGAACACCTGTCTGTATACCACAGATACAGAAAACTTTAGATCCAAATGGAAGAGAAGGGCTTTATTTGATTCCATAAGACTGATTTTCTTTCTCTGGAGTCATGTAATGGTTAGTCAAATAAGTACAGTAGCACAGAGGTGAGACAGACTTGGAAATATTTTGCTTGATTTTCTCTTAGGTGTTGGTTTTGATAGGGATAATTTTCTTCACAGTATCTACTGTATTTTGGGGCTGTATTTTGGATTTGTGCTGAAAACAGTGCTGACAACACAGGGATGTTTTATTTCTTGCTGAGCAACACTTGCACAGAGTTCTGTTCCCTGCCCCACCTCACCACTAGCTCACACATCTGACCCCAAGGGTATTCCATACCATATGGTGCCATGCTTAGCATATAAATCTAGGGAAAAAGAATGCTGGGGGGAAGAATAAGAATGGGGCAGGGAGGGATGTTTGGAATCATGGTGTGTATCTTACCAAGTAACCATTAAGTGACATGGAGCCCTGCTTTCCTAGAGAATGTTGAATATCTGCCTCAGGTGGTGAACTAATGCCTTTATATAAAGCTTTATATAGCTTTTGCTTTCCCTATTAAACTGTCTTCATCTCAACCCATGAGTTTTCTCACTTCTCCTCCTCTGATTCTCTCCTCTGTCCTGCCATGGGAGACAGAGTGAATGGCTGTGTGGGGTTCAGTGGCCAGCTAGGATTAAGCCACAACACCTCCCTAAAGTTGGGAATAATTCAATGTCCCCATGCCCTTTTTTTCAGGGCAAAGATATCACTCCACCCTTCCCATGTGACTGCCTGTGTTGCTGGCTGTGTATGGTAGTGAGAAAAGGCTGCTCCAGGGTAACACAGTGTGTACCCTGCACATACAAATGTGAAGGTGTGACTCTTGGATGTTTTCTGGCTGTCAGTTGCTGACTCCTACTCATCATGAATAAAGGTTGTCAGTGATTTGACAAAACAAATTTCTGAGCTCTCCCATAATTCAATCTTCAAGTGTGGATATCAAGGCATAATTCTTACAAACTGAGAAAAGCCTTGCCTTTTGTCCTTTAACCACCACAGAGTGGGAAATGTAACTACCTGAGATTAGCTGCATTAATTACCTTCACAACAGATCTTGTTCTGTAATTGTGATATACGATTCCTACATAAATGCATCAATGCTTTTAGACTTTTACCCTCTACACAAACCCTTTAAGAGCTATTGGCAGTAAATATGGAATAAAATGTAGCCACATTAAAAGAAAATTTACCTGGTTATAAACCAAAAGAAAACACAAAACAAATTAATTGCAAAAAATTCCAGTTTTATGGGTCATGTCATACTTACTTTAAAGCTGAATCTGACAATATTCTGTGGAATATGGGGATTATTAGCTGTCAAGGTACGTATAACTTCCTTTTTTAATTCCTTTGGAATGGAAACAAAAGTATTGTAAATAAAATTTCACTACTAATACAATGTACAGCAATAAAATCACCATGTTTATGCTCAGTTCACTGCAGATACCTCATATACAGCTGATGCCACCACAAAAACAGTACTTAGGGCTAACCTGGCTCAGAGTAGAATCCAGAACAGTCATCCTGCTTCCTACTACAGTATTTCAATGGGCTTTTTTGTTTTTAATTCTTATCTAAGATATGGTAGCATTTGAGAAATACTAACTGCATTATATATGATGATACAGACACCTTGTGTCTTTAAAATTTTCACTGTCAAAAATAAACAATAAGCTTAGTGGCAGGATTGACCGCTGTGAACAAAAAAAAAAAAAAAATACTGCTAACTATTTTTAGTGCCTGAGTTGGGGAATATACATAAAGCCTTCCCTCTCACAGTGCTAGTTTAAGGACAGAGAACAATGCTTTCTAAGACAGTGAGAAGACAGAAACAATTCAGTTCGAAGGGTGACCAATTGCAATGCTACTGAACCAATAGAAGAAATAGCAATAAAATTGTATGACACTTTCCTGTCCTCTGTATTGCACACAGCCACCTGAAAAGCTCAGGACTGGCTCTGGGTTCTCCTTAACTGAGTGAAGCCCCAGCTGCATTTTCCCTTTGGGATTACTTCCAGGCAATTACAGTGTTTTAAGCCC